TTACTGGTTGAAAAAAAAAAAAAAAAGGATGGTGAGAGTTGTGTGTTTAGACACAGTTTGGGCCGAGTCCAAAATCCAGGCTTGAAGTTTGCAAACAACCTATATTTTTATGAAGGGCTGAACCAAAACCCCTGACCTAAAACACCCATGAATTTTTGAAGCGCTCAAAATCTGTCTCTTGGATCTCTTTCTCTCTCTCAAACTTTAGGTTTATACCCTATACAAAACATATCTATAATCTATATCCCACACATCATATGTATTGAACTGATATTCATGTCACACACTACATTTATTGTACTCCTTTGGCCGCCTCGCTTGTGATCTAAGCCTGCTTCCACTGAAGTCAATAGCAGAACTCCCACTGACTTCAGTGGTGAAGGATCAGGCCTTTGCACTAATTCACCTCCTAGCACTTATTCTTTGGAAGTCTCTGAGCAGCTTCAGTCAGAAACCATTTACCCCCCACCACACTATTTAAGTGTGGTGGGGGGTAAATGGATGGACAATATTATAGTATAGGATGGACCATATTAGTTCCTGGATTGAATATATACATATATGTGGAGCTAATAGTCATGTGATAAATTCCATTGCTATGGGATAAATAGATTTATCATGTTACCTTTTATTGCCTCATTGGATTAATGGGCTAAGGGCAATCTCCCCTGAACTGTTAAACCTTGTCAGACTGTACCTAAAGAATTTTGCAGAAATATTTTCCTAAGTGCTCTAATGATGGACTAGCAGGAGTACTAGTGGAAAGCTCAGCTTTGACAAGGCTTTGCTGACATCCAGCATTTAATTAAATCTAATTTCTCCCTGTCATAAATATAAAGGGAAGGGTAAACCCCTTTAAAATCCCTCCTGGCCAGAGGAAAAATCCTCTCACCTGTAAAGGGTTAAGAAGCTAAAGGTAACCTCACTGGCACCTGACCAAAATGACCAATGAGGAGACAAGATACTTTCAAAAGCTGGGAGGAGGGAGAAAAACAAAGGGTATGTGTCTGTCTGCCAGGGACAGAACAGAGTCTTAGAACTTTTAATAAGTAATCTAGCTAGGTATGTGTTAGATTATGATTTCTGTAAATGGCTGAGAAAAGAGCTGTGCTGAATAGAATGACTATTCTTGTCTGTGTGTCTTTTTTGTAACTTAAGGTTTTCCTAGAGGGATTCTCTATGTTTTGAATCTAATTACCCTGTAAGGTATACCATCCTGATTTTACAGAGGTGATTCCTTTACTTCTATTAAAAGTCTTCTTGTAAGAAAACTGAATGCTTTTTCATTGTTCTGAGATCCAAGAGTTTGGGTCTGTGGTCACCTATGCAAATTGAGGATTTTTACCAAACCTTCCCCAGGAAGTGGGGTGCAAGGGTTGGGAGGATTTTGGGGGGAAGACGTGTCTGAACTACGTTTCCCAGTAAACCCAGATAAAGTTTGGTGGTGGCAGTGGAAATCCAACGGCAAAGGGTAAAATTAATTTGTACCTTGGGGAAGTTTTAACCTAAGCTGGTAGAAGTAAGCTTAGGAGGTTTTCATGCAGGTCCCCACATCTGTACCCTAGAGTTCAGAGTGGGGAAGGAACCTTGACACTCCCCATAGAAGCCAATGGGCATTTTGCAAAACCTATAACAGGAGTATGAGTGAGTCTGAAGTGCGTAGATTTTTGATACGCATCATTTTCCTCAAATCTCTGTAAAGCTGATCTTCTTGGTTCCTTTGTCTGCATGGGATATTGACTATGAAAATCTTCATAGTCAGTATCAGAAGTGTTTTGGCTATTTTACATAGTTTATAAAAAGAACACTCCAAGCATCCCAATGACAGGAAGAAAGGAAAGAAGGAATCTGGGTGGCAGAAGTAAGATGGTGTCAGAGCTACAAGAATTTGAGTCTCCTTGTGTGACTCATGTATTCTATGGATGGATAATTAATCTACTAATATAGTTAGTGCTCACGAATGTCTGGGAAGTGTGCCATAAATGACTAGATTAGGTAGCCAAAAAAGGAAAATGTGGGAAAACAGAAACAATCAGAAGCTATTGAAAAATCAAAAAAGGAATCCTACAAAAAGTGGAAACAACAAATTTCTAAGGATGAAAACAAAAGAAAAGCGCAAATATCTAGGTATAAAATCAGAAAGGCTGAGGCACAAAATGAAATTACACCTAGCAAGGGACATTAAAAGGTAATAAGAACAGTTTCTATAAGTATTTAAGGAGCAAGAGAAGGATGAAGGAAAGTGTAGGTCTACTGCTTAGTAAGGAAGTAGAGCTAATAACAGACAGACCAAGAAATCTGATTTCAGAGTGGTAGCGGTGTTAGTCTGCATCAGCAAAAACAACGAGGAGTCCATGTGGCACCTTAGAGACTAACAAAATTATTTGGGCATAAGCTTTTGTGGGCTAAAACCCACTTCATCACATGCATGGAGTGAAAAATACAATAAGCAGTATATAAAAGCACATGAAAAGATGGGAGTTGCCTTACCAAGTGCGGGGGTCAGTGCTAACAAGGCCAATTCAATTAAGGTGGAAGTGGCCTATTCTCAACAGTTGACAAAAAGGGATGAATATCAAGAGAGGGAAAATTACTTTTGTAGTGTTAATGAGGCCAATACAATCAAGGTGGATGTCTGAGGTGTTTAATGTCTACTTTGCTTCATTCTTCACTAAAAAGGTTAATGGAGACCGGATACTCAACACAATTAATTATTAAAAACAAAAAGAAAGAAATGCAAGCCAGAACAGGAAAAGAACAGGTCAAAGAATATTGAGAAAAGTTAGATATATTCAAGTCAGCAGGGCCTGATTAAATTCCTCTTAGGATATGTAAGGAACTAGGCAAATCTATCTTTGAACCATTAGTCATTATCTTTGAGAACTCACAGCGGATGAGTGAGGTCCGAGAGGACTGGGGAGGCAAACATAGCATCTATCTTTCAAAAGAGAACCTGGGAAATTATAGACCAGTGAGCCTGACTTTGATACCTAGAAAAATACTGGAACAAATGATTGAAGCACTGAGACGATAATAAAGTGGTAAGTAATAGCCAACATGGATTTGTCAAGAACAAATAATGCCAAACAAAACTTAATTTCCTCTTTTGACAGTGGATAGAAAGGAAGAAGCAGCAGTGATATATCTTGATTCTAGTAATACTTTTAACACAGTCCCACATGACAGTCTCATAATGAACTAGGGAAATAGATGAAATAACTATATGGTGGATGCACAACTGGTTGAAAAACTGTATTCAGAATAGCTATCAATGGTTTGCAACAACCACGGAGGGGGTATCTAGTGGGGTCCAACAGGGTTCTGTCCTGGGTCTGGTACTATTCAATATTTTCATTAATGACTTCCACAATGGAATGGAGCGTATGCCTATAAAATCTACAGAGGACACTGTGCTAGGAGTGGTTGCAAGCACTCTGGAGGACAGGATTAATATTCAAAAAGTGTCCTTTATAAATTGGAGAATCGGTCTGAAATCAACAAGATAGAATTCAATAAAGACAAGCACAAAGTACAACACTTTGGAATGAAAACTCAAATACATAACTACAAAATAACTGTCTAGGCAATAGTACTGCAGAAAAGGATCTTGGGGATGTACAGGTCATAAGTTGCAAATGAGTCAACAGTGTGATGCTGTTGCAAAAAAGGCTAATTATTCTGGTGTTTATGAACAGGAATGCGGTATGTAGCGACCCAGGGATTAGCTCTTGACTGGTCTGATGCCCTCTCCTTCAGTTGCTCACCCTGTGGTCTTTCTCTGGACTCAAGAGTACACCCTCTTCCTGATTTGGCGCTCCAGTCAGGTCTCTACAGTTTACCCATTCTGTGGTAATAAAGTCCCACTGAACAATCTGTGCCACTTCTTAAGTGGCTGGTAAGCACTGGAACCTTAAGTCCAGCAACTATGGTCTAAGCAATCTCAGACCCTGTCACTGTTTCCCTGGGCTCTTTCCTACCTTCCTTCCTCTGTCATCTGGCTACCACTGGAACCTCCTCCCTTCCCTGTGGCTACTTCACCCTTTCTTGGGTTCCTGCCAGAGTCTGTACTCCCAGGCAGGATTCCAGGGCTTACTTACCACTAGGACTCCTCCTCGACTCTTCTCTTTAGTCATGACTGCAGTGTTCCTTCCTGCAAACCTCTTCTTGCTCTCCCTTTCCAGGTTTTATTCCAGCTCATCCTGCCCCTGCCCAGCTGTGCTTCATCATCAGTTAGAGTTTATGGGCCCTGACTTTCTTCCAGGTGCAGCCTGTTGTGGAGTTAATTGGTCTTTCTAACTATTCAGGCCTTGTGTAAGGTAGACACCCCATCATACCACTGAAGGTAGGACAAAAAGTAACAGGCTTAATCTGCAGCAAGGGAGAGTTAAGTTAGATACTAGGAAAAACTTTCAAGGAATAAGGATAGGTAAGTCTAACAGCAGCGAGGCTAACAGATGGAGTTTGACTGGGATCTGTCTGAGAGGAGGTACGCTATGTGCTGCATTAGGGGGCCTGTGTTGGTGAGTTGCTGAGTGTCTGTTGTGGGGACATTTTGGCAGTTTGACCGTGTGCTTGATTGTTTGAAAAGTCTGAACTGGGAGTGCTTTGTTCCAGGTGGGCCTGATTGTTATAAAAAGGCAGCCAGCAGCAAACCAGCTGAGCAGCAAACAGAGGGAGTTCACCTGGGGAGAGCCCACTGAGGCTTTCATCTTGCAGGCTTCTCTGAGTAGTTACTACAACATCTGAGGAAGCTCTTAGAAGGAAGGTAATATGGATGGTGAGCATTCAGCTGTTGTGACCTGCGCAGGATGTGCCATGTTTGTCTTTCTTCCCCAGGACAGAAGCGACTTTGTCTGTACAAAGTGCAAGCTGATCTCCATATTGGAAGAGAAGGTTCAAGATCTAGAGGAAACAAGTATCAACCCTGCGTTGCATAAGAGAAAATGAAGATTTCCTGGACAGACGTCAGGAAATGCTTCTGCGGGCACAACATTCTGAAGAATTGGAGCAGGCTGCGCAGCGGGGACAGAAGGACAGTGAAGAAACTTGACAGCATGTGACCTCCAGAAGAAGAAAGAGGAGCATCCATGTACCAGCAATGCAGATACAGGTGAGCAACCAGTTTCATGTTCTCTACACAGGTACTAATGCGGACACTGGACTAGATAATACATCTGAGGGAAGGGAGCAGAAGGAGACTCCACCGATTGGAAGGCATGAGATGCACTGTTCTAGGGATGGAGGGTCCACGACCACCACTCCCAATAGAAGGAGGCGGGTGGTGGTGATGGGGACTCCTTCCTAAGGGGGACTGAGTCATCTATCTGCCATCCCGACTAGGAAAACCAAGAAGTGTGCTGCTTGCCAGGAGCTACAATTCATGATGTGATGGACAGACTGTCGAGACTATTCAAGCCCTTGGATCGCTACCCCTTCCTGCTTCTCCAAGTGGGCACCAGTGGTACTGTCAAGAATGACCTTGAACGGATCACTGCAGACTATGTGACTCTGGAAAGAAGGATAAAGGCGTTTGAGGCACAAATGGTATTCTCGTCCATCCTCCCTATGGAAGGAAAAGGCCCAGGTAGAGACCATCGAATCGTGGAAGTCAATGAATGGCTACACAGGTGGTGTCAGAGAGAAGGCTTTGGATTTTTTGACCAACGGATAGGTTTCAGAGTAACAGCCGTGTTAGTCTGTATTCGCAAAAAGAAAAGGAGTACTTGTGGCACCTTAGAGACTAACCAATTTATTTGAGCATAAGCTTTCGTGAGCTACAGCTCACTTCATCGGATGCATACTGTGGAAAGTGTAGAAGATCTTTTATACACACAAAGCGTGAAAAAATACCTCCCCCCACCCCACTCTCCTGCTGGCAATAGCTTACCTAAAGTGATCACTCTCCTTACAATGTGTATGATAATCAAGGTGGGCCATTTCCAGCACAAATCCAGGGTTTAACAAGAACGTCTGAGGAGGGGGGTGGGAGGGGTTAGGAAAAAACAAGGGGAAATAGGTTACCTTGCATAATGACTTAGCCACTCCCAGTCTCTGTTCAAGCCTAAGTTAATTGTATCCAATTTGCAAATGAATTCCAATTCAACAGTTTCTCGCTGGAGTCTGGATTTGAAGTTTTTTTGTTGAAGAATTGCAACTTTCATGTCTGTAATCACGTGACCAGAGAGATTGACGTGTTCTCCAACTGGATTATGAATGTTATAATTCTTGACATCTGATTTGTGTCCATTTATTCTTTTACGTAGAGACTGTCCAGTTTGACCAATGTACATGGCAGAGGGGCATTGCTGGCATATGATGGCATATATCACATTGGTGGATGTGCAGGCGAACGAGCCTCTGATAGTGTGGCTGATGTTATTAGGCCTTGTGATGGTGTCCCCTGAATAGATATGTGGGCACAGTTGGCAACGGGCTGTGTTGCAAGGATAGGTTCTTGGGTTAGTGGTTCTGTTGTGTGGTATGTGGTTGCTGGTGAGTATTTGCTTCAGGTTGGGGGGCTGTCTGTAGGCAAGGACTGGCCTGTCTCCCAGGATTTGTGAGAGTGTTGCGTCATCCTTCAGGATAGGTTGTAGATCCTTAATTATGCGTTGGAGGGGTTTTAGTTGGGGGCTGAAGGTGACGGCTAGTGGCGTTCTGTTATTTTCTTTGTTAGGCCTATCCTGTAGTAGGTGACTTCTGGGAACTCTTCTGGCTCTATCAATCTGTTTCTTCACTTCCGCAGGTGGGTATTGTAGTTGTAAGAATGCTTGAGAGAGATCTTGTAGGTGTTTGTCTCTGTCTGAGGGGTTGGAGCAAATGCAGTTGTATCACAGAGCTTGGCTGTAGACGATGGATCGTGTGGTGTGGTCAGGGTGAAAGCTGGAGGCATGTAGGTAGGAATAGGGGTCAGTAGGTTTCCGGTATAGGGTGGTGTTTATGTGACCGTTGTTTATTAGCACTGTAGTGTCCAGGAAGTGGATCTCTTGTGTGGACTGGACCAGGCTGAGGTTGATGGTGGGATGGAAATTGTTGAAATCATGGTGGAATTCCTCAAGGGCTTCTTTTCCATGGGTCCAGATGATGAAGATGTCATCAATATAGCGCAAGTAGAGTAGGGGCATTAGAACAACGCTTCCTCAGCTCTCGTCCCCTAAGTCAGCCATAAAAATGTTGGCATACTGTGGGGCCATGCGGGTACCCATAGCAGTGCCGCTGATCTGAAGGTATACATTGTCCCCAAATGTAAAATAGTTATGGGTAAGGACAAAATCCAGCCACCAGGTTAGCCGTGACATTATCAGGGATAGTGTTCTTGACGGCTTGTAGTCCATTTTTGTGTGGAATGTTGGTGTAGAGGGCTTCTACATCCCATAGTGGCCAGGATGGTGTTATCAGGAAGATCACCGATGCATTGTAGTTTCCTCAGGAAGTCAGTGATGTCTCGAAGGTAGCTGGGAGTGCTGGTAGCGTAGGGCCTGAGGAGGGAGTCTACATAGCCAATCCTGCTGTCAGGGTGCCAATGCCTGAGATGATGGGGTGCCCAGGATTTCCAGGTTTATGGATCTTGGGTAGTAGATAGAATATCCCAGGTCGGAGTTCCAGGGGTGTGTGTGTGCGGATTTGATCTTGTGCTTTTTCAGGGAGTTTCTTGAGCAAATGCTGTAGTTTCTTTTGGTAACTCTCAGTGGGATCAGAGGGTAATGGCTTGTAGAAAGTGGTGATCCCACTGAGAGTTACCAAAAGAAACTACAGCATACCACAAAACTACACCTACAAGAGCTCTATCAAGCATTCTTACAACTACAATACCCACCTGCGGAAGTGAAGAAACAGCTTGATAGAGCCAGAAGAGTTCCCAGAAGTCACCTACTACAGGATAGGCCTAACAAAGAAAATAACAGAACGCCACTAGCCGTCACCTTCAGCCCCCAACTAAAACCCCTCCAACGCATTATTAAGGATCTACAACCTATCCTGAAGGATGACCCAACACTCTCACAAATCCTGGGAGACAGGCCTTTCCTTGCCTACAGACAGCCCCCCAACCTGAAGCAAATACTCACCAGCAACCACATACCACACAACAGAACCACTAACCCAAGAACCTATCCTTGCAACACAGCTCGTTACCAACTGTGCCCACATATCTATTCAGGGGACACCATCACAGGGCCTAATAACATCAGCCACACTATCAGAGGCTCGTTCACCTGCACATCCACCAATGTGATATATGCCATCATATGCCAGCAATGCCCCTCTGCCATGTACATTGGTCAAACTGGACAGTCTCTACGTAAAAGAATAAATGGACACAAATCAGATGTCAAGAATTATAACATTCATAATCCAGTTGGAGAACACGTCAATCTCTCTGGTCACGTGATTACAGACATGAAAGTTGCAATTCTTCAACAAAAAAACTTCAAATCCAGACTCCAGCGAGAAACTGTTGAATTGGAATTCATTTGCAAATTGGATACAATTAACTTAGGCTTGAACAGAGACTGGGAGTGGCTAAGTCATTATGCAAGGTAACCTATTTCCCCTTGTTTTTTCCTAACCCCTCCCACCCCCCTCCTCAGACGTTCTTGTTAAACCCTGGATTTGTGCTGGAAATGGCCTACCTTGATTATCATACACATTGTAAGGAGAGTGATCACTTTAGATAAGCTATTGCCAGCAGGAGAGTGGGGTGGGGGGAGGTATTTTTTCACGCTTTGTGTGTATAAAAGGTCTTCTACACTTTCCACAGTACGCATCCGATGAAGTAAGCTTTCGTGAGCTACAGCTCATGCTCAAATAAATTGGTTAGTCTCTAAGGTGCCACAAGTACTCCTTTTCTTTTGACCAACGGATAGTGTTCCAAGAAGAAGGATTGCTAGGCAGAGACGGGCTCCACCTAACGAAGAGAGGGAAGAGAATCTTTGCAAGCAGGCTGGCTAACCTAGTGAGGAGGGCTTTAAACTAGGTTCACTGGGGGAAGGAGACCAAAGCCCTGAGGTAAGTGGGGAAGTGGGATACCAGAAGGAAGCACGAGCAGGAGAGCGCAAGAGGGGAGGACCCCTGCCTCATACTGAGAAAGCAGGACAATCAGCAAGTTATCTGAAGTTCCTATACATAAATGCAAGAAGCCTGAGAAACAACCAGGGAGAACTGGAAGTCCTGGCACAGTCAAGGAATTATGATTTGATTGGAACAACAGAGACTTGGTGGGATAACTCACATGACTGGAGTACTGTCATGGATGGATATAAACTGTTCAGGAAGGACAAGCAGGGCAGAAAACGTTGGGGAGTTGCATTGTATGTAAGAGAGCAGGATGACTGCTCAGAGCTCCAGTATGAAACTGCAGAAAAACCTGAGAGTCTCTGGATTAAGTTTAGAAGTGTGAGCAACAAGGGTGCATGTCATGGTGGGTGTCTGCTATAGACCACCGAACCAAGGGGATGAGGTCAGGGCCGGTGCAACCACTAGGCAAACTAGGTGGCCGCCTAGGGCGCCAAGTGGTTGGGAGCAGCCAAAAGCGCGCTCCGGGGAGGTGGTGGAGTGGAGGTAAGCTGGGGCAGGGGAGCGCGGGGAGGGCCGCCTGCAACAAGTAACAGGGGGAGGGTGGCGCGCAGGGGAACCACTCCCCATCCCAGCTCACCTCTGCTCCGCCTCCTCCCCTGAGCCCGCTGCCCTGCTTTGCTTCTCTCCCTCCCAGGCTTGCGGTGCCAAACAGCTGATTGGCGCCGCAAGCCTGGGGAGGCGGGAGAAGCGGAATGGCAGCGGCATGCTCAGGGAGGAGGCGAAGCAGAGGTGAGCTGGGGTGGGGAGCTGCCGCACACCTCCCGGGGCCGACGGGGGGGGCAGGGGGAAAGAGCTGCTGCACGGCTCCCCGGGCCAATGGGGAGGGAGAGGTGGAGGGGGGCGGGCACAAGGTGGAAGTTTCGGCTAGGGCACAAAACATCCTTGCACCGGCCCTGGATGAGGTGGACGAGGCTTTCTTCAGGCAACAAACAGAAGTTACTAGATCACAGGCCCTGGTTCTCATGGGGGACTTCAATCACCCCGATATCTGCTGGGAGAGCAATACAGCGGTGCACAGACAATCCAGGAAGTTTTTGGAAAGCATAGGGAACAATTTCCTGGTGCAAGTGCTGGAGGAACCAACTGGGGCAGAGCTCTTCTTTACCTGCTGCTCACAAACAGGGAAGAATTAGTAGGGGGAGCAAAAGTAGATGGGAACCTGGGAGGCAGTGACCATGAGATGGTAGAGTTCAGGATCCTGACACAGGGAAGAAAAGAGAGCAGCAGAATACGGACCCTGGACATCAGAAAAGCAGACTTTGACTCCCTCAGGGAACTGATGAGCAGAATCCCGTGGGAGAATAACATGAGGGGGAAAAGAGTCCAGGAGAGCTGGCTGTATTTTAAAGAATCCTTATTGAGGTTACAGGAACAAACCATCCCGATGTGTAGAAAGAATAGTAAATGTGGCAGGCGACCAGCTTGGCTTAACAGTGAAATCCTTGCTGATCTTAAACACAAAAAAGAAGCTTACAAGAAGTGGAAGACTGGACAAATGACCAGGGAGGAGTATAAAAATATTGCTCAGGCATGCAGGAGTGAAGTCAGGAAGGCCCAATCACACTTGGAGTTGCAGCTAGCAAGGGATGTTAAGAGTAACAAGAAGGGTTTTCTACAGGTATGTTAGCAACATGATCAGGGAAAGTGTGGGCCCCTTACTGAATGGAGAAGGCAAACCAGTGACAGAGGATGTGGAAAAAGCTAATGTACTCAATGCTTTTTTTGCCTCTGTCTTCACGAACAAGGTCAGCTCCCAGACTACTGCACTGGGCAGCACAGTATGGGGAGGAGGTGACCAGCCCTCTGTGGAGAAAGAAGTGGTTCAGGATTATTTAGAAAAGCTGGACGAGTACAAGTCCATGGGGCCGGATGCACTGCATCCGAGGGTGCTAAAGGAGTTGGCAGATTTGATTGCAGAGCCATTGGCCATTATCTTTGAAAACTCATGGCAATCAGGGGAAGTCCCGGATGACTGGAAAAAGGCTAATGTAGTGCCCATCTTTAAAAAAGGGAAGGAGGAGGACCCAGGGAACTACAGGCGAGTCAGCCTCACCTCAGTCCCTGGAAAAATCATGGAGTAAGTAGGTCCTCAAGGAATCAATTTGGAAGCACTTAGAGGAAAGGAAAGTGATCAGGAACAGTCAGCATGGATTCACCAAGGGCAAGTCATGCTTCACTAACCTAATTGTCTTCTATGATGAGATAACTGGCTCTGTGGATGAGGGGAAAGCAGTGGACATGTTATTCCTTGACTTTAGCAAAGCTTTTGACACGGTCTCCCACAGTATTCTTCCCAGCATGTTAAAGAAGTATGGGCTGGATGAATGGACTATAAGGTGAATAGAAAGCTAGATCATTGGGCTCAATGGGTAGTGATCAATGGCTCCATGTCTAGCTGGCAGCCGGTATCAAGCGGAGTGCCCCAAGCATTGGTCCTGGGGTCGGTTTTGTTCAATATGTTCATTAATGATCTGGAGGATGGTGTGGACTGCACCCTCAGCAAGTTTGCAGAGGACACTAAACTGGGAGGAGTGGTAGATACGCTGGAGGGTAGGAATAGGATACAGAGGGACCTAGACAAATTAGAGGATTGGACCAAAAGTAATCTGATGAGGTTCAACAAGGACAAGTGCAGAGTCCTGCACTTAGGACAGAAGAATCCCATGCACTGGTACAGACTAGGGCCCGAGTGGCTAGGCAGGCAGTCCTACAGAAAAGGACCTAGGGGTTACAGTGGACAAGAAGCTGGATATGAGTCAACAGTGTGCCCTTGTTGCCAAGAAGGCTAACGGCATTTTGGGCTGTATAAGTAGGAGTATTGCCAGCAGATCGAGTGATGTGATCATTCCCCGCTATTCAGCATTGGTGAGGCCTTATCTGGAGTACTGTGTCTAGTTTTGGGCCCCACACTACAAGGATGGTGGAAAAATTGGAAAGAGTCCAGCAGAGGGCAACAAAAATGATTAGGGGGAGGGAGCATATGACTTATGAGGAGAGGCTGAGGGAACTGGGATTATTTAGTCTGCGGAAGAGCAGAATGAGGAGGGATTTGATAGCTGCTTTCAACTACCTGAAAGGGGGTTCTAAAGAGGATGGATCTAGACTGTTCTCAGTGGTAGCAGGTGACAGAACAAGGAGTAATAGTCTCAAGATGCAGTGGGGGAGGTTTAGGTTGGATATTAGGAAAAACTTTTTCACTAGGAGGGTGGTGAAGCACTGGAATAGGTTACCTAGGGAGGTGGTGGAATCTCCTTCCTTTTAAGGTCAGGCTTGACAAAGCCCTGGCTGGGATGATTTAGTTGGGGACTGGTCCTGCTTTGAGCAGGGGGTTGGACTAGATGACCTCCTGAGGTCCCTTCCAACCCTGATACTCTATGAAGTCCTGGAATAGGTTAGCAAGGGAGGTTGTGAAATCCCCATCAGTGGAGGATTTTAAGAACACCTGGACAAACACCTGTCAGGGATGGTTTAGGTATAGTTGGTCCTGCCTTAGCATGGGGCACTGGACTAGATCTCTGAAGGTCCCTTCCAGCCCTATATTTCTGATTGCATGATTCTAGAATTGTAAATATGGATTGTTTTCCTTAAAGCGAAAAATCTTCCTTGGATTGGTGGACTTTGATTAAAGTAGAGTTTGCTGTTTGTTTACTTAAAACATGATCTTTGAAGGAAAAGAAAATCACTCTTGTGCCACATAGCAGTTGCTTACCTCATTGGCTGCTGCCTCAGAGTTTTCTTTGTTCTCCAGCAAAATCAGAACTTCGCCCTTTCCAGGGTAATAAAGGTCCAAAAGAAATTAAAATTCTGACCAAAGCAGCGTTTCATCAAGTCCCTCACTCCCTGGGCCATAGCCGTGTCTCCAGGGTCTGTTCAAAGTTTCACCCCTGGTGACAGGTTCACCCTTCTTGATGCAGGGCAAAAATTACAAAAATCAGCAGGCAGCTCCTCAGAGTGGTATAGGTTATGGTTCTCCCATAGCTATCTCCTACACTGTGGCCCTCCTCTGGGTAACTCCAGGACACTGACCCCTTATCACCTTCCTAAATTTCCTTCCTGGCCCCTTTTACAGGCTTCATAGTAAATCCTTTTGCCCTTGGAGTTTCAGAGCTCTTGCTTTTACCCAGTCTCTCTCCCCAGTAAAGAAACCCAGCCTATTCCCTCTCATCTACTTTACTCTGTCCTGGTCCTCTGAGCAGAAAGAACCACAAGTCCTGCTCTTTCCCCTGGTCTCCCTCACAATGAAGAAAAGGACTAGCCTTTATAAAGCTTCCCTTCCCAGCAGGCCTACCTATCATTCCTCTTACTCCCATTCTTCCCTCTGGACTACAATCCCCAGAATCCCTCTATTTTGGGTAAAAAACAGGAACAGGGAAGAGGGGGATCTAAGCTTTGACTTTACTGACATTTCTGCAGTAAACCCAAACCAGAATTAGTGAACATTTCAGTTAGTCATTTGGCTTGAATTTGGGGTAATGTGTAGATTGGCTACAATATTTTTTAATCTAACAAGTGATTAAACTTGATTTGTTTTGTTCAGATGCTGTAACAGCACCTCCAGGACTGCATGATGCTGTGGTTTCTCTTTCCACTCATCTCTTGCTGTGACTGAGAGCACTGAAGAGTCTGACAAAATCCTTCTTCTCAAATTACAAATGAGTCCTTCATGGGAAACTTAAAAGAAAGCAGAGCCAGCTAACACAGTCTACTTACTTCTACTAAAACTGAAGAATTTACATAGCATCTTTAATGCAAGAATCCCTAAGGCCATGTCTACACTACAAAAGTACTCCAATTTTACAGAAGTCAATTTTTGGGAACAGATTGTATAAAGTCGAGTGCATGCATCCACACTAAGCACATTAATTCAGCGGTTTGCGTCCACAGTACCGTGGCAAGCGTCGACATTCTGAGCGGTGCACTGTGGGTAGCTATCCCACAGTTCCCGCAGCCCATTGGAATTCTGGGCTGAGCTCCCAATGCCTGATAGGGCCAAAAATTTGTCACGGGTGGTTATGGGTAAATGTCATCAGTCAACCCTCCCTCCCTCCATGAAAGCAACAATCATTTCACGCCCTTTTCCCTGGATTGCCCGAGCAGAAGCATAGCACAGCAAGCATGGAGCCCATTCAGCTCACCACAGCAGTTATGACCATTGTAAACGCCTCGCGCATTATCGTGCAGTTTATGCAGAACCAGCGCCTGAAAAACCAGACGAGGAGGTGACAGCAGCACGGTGATGAGGACATGAACACAGATTTCTCTAAAGCCACGGTATCCAGCAATTTGGAGATCATGGTGTTACTGGGGCAGGCTCATGCTGTGGAACGCAGATTCTGGGCACGGGAAACAAGCACAGAGTGGTGGGACCACATAGTGTTGCAGGTTTGGGATGATTCCCAGTGGCTCCGAAACTTTCGCATGCATAAGGGCACTTTCATGGAACTTTGTGACTTGCTTTCCCCTGCCCTGAAGCACAAGAATACCAAGATGAGAGCAGCCCTCACAGATCACAAGCGAGTGGCAATAGCCCTGTGGAAGCTTGGAATACCAGACAGCTACCGGTCAGTTGGTAATCAATTTGGAGTGGGCAAATCTACTGTGGGGGTTGCTGTGATGCAAGTAGCCAACGTAATCATTGAGCTGCTGCTATCAAAGGTAGTGACTCTGGGAAATGTGCAAGTCATACTAGATGGCTTTGCTGCAATGGGATTCCCTAACTGTGGTGGGGCTATAGACGGAACGCATATCCCCATCTTGGGACCGGACCACCAGGGCAGCCAGTACATAAACCACAAGGGGTACTTTTCAGTGGTGCTGCAAACACTGGTGGATCACAAGGGACATTTCACCAACATCAACGTGGGATAGCCGGGAAAGGTTCATGATGCTCGCGTCTTCAGGAACTCTGGTCTGTTTAAATGGCTGCAGGAAGGGATTTACTTCCCAGATCAGAAAATAGCTGTTGGGGATATTGAAATGCCTATAGTTATCCTTGGGGACCCAGCCTACCCCTTAATGCCATGGCTCATGAAGCCATACACAGGCACCCTGGACAGTAGTAAGGAGCTGTTCAACTATAAGCTGAGCAAGTGCAGAATGGTGGTAGAGTGTGCATTTGGACGTTTAAAGGGTCGCTGGTGCAGTATACTGACTCACTCAGACCTCAGTGGGATTATTGGTTTCACTGTTATTGCTGCTTGCTGTGTGCTCCACAATCTCTGTGAGAGTAAGGGGGAGATGTTTTTTGGCGTCGTGGGAGGTTGAGGCAAATCGTCTGGCCACTGAATACGCGCAGCCAGACACCAGGGTGGTTAGAAGAGCACAGCAGGAAGCGCTGCGCATCAGAGAATCTTTGAAAACCAGTTTCATGACTGGCCAGGGTACTGTGTGACACTTCTGTTTGTTTTTCCTTGATGAAAACCCGTCCCCTTGGTTGCCTCTAAATTCCCTGTAAGCCACCCAGCCTCCCCCCTTCGATCACAGCTTGCTTGCAAAGGAAATAAAGTCACTATCGTTTAAAAAACATGTATTCTTTATTAATTGATTATGAAAATAGGAAGATAACTCACAAGGTAGCCCGGGTGGGGTGTGGGAGGAGGGAAGGAAAAGGCCACTTTAAAACTTCTTGAATGACAGCCTTCTGTTGCTTGGGCTGTCCACTCGAGTGGAGTAGTTGGGTGCCCAGAGCCTCCCCCACCCTCCACGTTCTTGGGCGTCTGGGTGAGGAGGCTATGGAACTCGGGGAGGAGGGAGGGCGGTTAAACAGGGGATGCAGCTGCAGTCTGTGATCCTGCTGCCATTCATGAACCTCCACCAGATGCCGGAGCATGTCCGTTTGATCCCACAGTAGCCCCAGCATTGCCTCATGCCTCCTCTGATCATCCTGCCACCACATCTCCTCACGTTCATTGGCCACTTTCCTGTACTCTGCTGTTGTGTCCCTCCACACATTCTGCTGAGCTCTGTCAGTGCCGGATGACTGCATGAGCTCAGAGAACATTTCATCGCATGTGCGTTTTTTTCGCCACCTTATCTGAGATAGCCTTTGGGACGGAGGAGGGAGGCTTGAAACATTTGCAGCTGCTGGAGGAAAAAAAGGAAGTGAAGTATTTTAAAAGGTACATTTTACAGAACAATGGCTATACTCTTTCATGGTGAACAACACTATTCACATTGCATAGCACATGTGATTTTGATACAAGGTCGCATTTTGCATCTTACATTGAGTGCCTGCGGCTTTGGCGTTAGAGATCACATACGCAGTGCCGGGAAACAGAATTCGGCTTTCAGGCGGCCATGGTAAGCCATAGTCTTTCGGCTTCTGCAACCTTCATAACAGCAGTGCGCTCCTCTCCCATACCAAGCAAAGCACGTTGAGTTGGCCATTTAGTACTCTGTTTTCCTGTTAACGTGCAACAGCAGAAACCAAACTAACCTCCCCCCCCAATCATCCAATTCTCTGGGATGATCGCATTACCCTCCCCCCACCGCATGGCTGGTATCAGGGAAGATCCCTGCTAGCCAAATGTAAACAGCTCAGTGCTAATGTCCCCTCTTCCCCACGCGTGGCTAACTTCGGGGAGGATTTCTTTTCAGCCACCGGCAAACAGCCCAGTAGGAATGGCCACCTCTGAATGTCCCCTTAATTAATTCCCCTATTTCAACCAGGTTACCATGAACGAGATCACTCTCCTGAGGATAAGACAGAGAGATAAAGAATGGATGTTGCTTGAATGCCAGCAAACACCGGGACCATACGCTGCCAGGCTTTGTCATGCAGTGATACCAGATTACTTGCTACCAGCATGGCGTGGTAAAGTGTCCTACCATGGAGGATGGAATAAGGCTGCTCTCCCCAGAAACCTTCTGCAACGGCTTTTAGAGTACCTCCAGGAGAGCTTCATGGAGATGTCCCTGGAGGATTTCCGCTCCATCCCCAGACACGTTAACAGACTTTTCCAGTAACAGTACTGGCATGAATGCATCCCCAAGTCCTCAGGGCTACTTAATCATTAAAAAACACTTGCTTTTATAACATGTATTATATTTTAAAAGGTACGCTCACCAGAGGTCCCTTCTCCGGCTTCGTTGGGTTGGGAGGGTATTTCAGTCAGGGTAATAAAAAGATCCTGGCTGTTGGGGAGAACGGTGTGCTGTGTACTCTCTTCAAGCTCATCCTCCTCCTCCTCATCTTCCCCGTCCGCAAAATCCTCAGGTATGGCGGAGAGTACCCCATCATCAGAGTCCACGGACAGGAGTGGGGTAGTGGTGGCGGCCCCCCCAGAATTGCATGCAGCTCAGCATAGAAGCAGCATGTTCGGGGCTCTCCAGTTTGATTGACCGTCCGTTTGATTCTTTGGTTTTCTGGTACACTTGTCTGAACTCCTTAAGTTTCACCCGGCACTGTGTTGCATCCCTGCTGTAGCCTCTGTCCCTTATGGCCTCGGAGATTTTTTGAAATGTTTTGGCATTTCGTCTTTTGGAACGTAGTTCTGATAGTACAGATTCATCTCCCCATACAGCGATCAGATCCAGTACCTCCCATTCGGTCCATGCTGGAGCTCTTTTTCAATTCTGGGACTGCATGGTCACCTGTTCTGATGAGCTCTGCATGATCACCTGTGCTGATGATCTCACCTGGCCAAACAGGAAATGAGATTCAAAAGTTTCCGGGGCTTTTCCTGTACACCCGGCCAGTGCATCAGAGTTCAGAGTGCTGTCCAGAGTGGTCACAATAGTGCACTGTGGGATAGCTCCCGGAGGCCAATACCTTCGAATTGCGTCCACACTAACTCTAAGTCACAAAGACGATGCCGATTTCAGCACTAATCCCCTCATGGGGGAGGAGTACAGAAATCGGTTTGAAGAGCCCTTTATGTCGAAAAAATGGCTTCGTTGTGTGGACAGGTACAGGGTTAATTCGATTTAATGCTGCTAAATCCGACAAACTCGTAGTGTAGACCAGGCCTAAGAGTCCAAGACCCTTTAACAAGGTGAAGGCCACCAATACGCATGACCATGACTTTGGATAGGTACATTTTCTAAATAAAGTAATAAAATATAAATCAGATGCAAGAACCAAAATCCTCTTTCCTGAAATGCAGTCACAGTAGGTTGCATGTTGGCAGCCTGTTAACAGCCTGCAGCAGCATTTCAAAATAACCATTCAAGAGAATTGGAGAGAGGAATACTTTAACCCGCTGAAACTACACAGGGAATCAGGGTAATTCCATGCTGCCAACCTCAGCTGGAATTTAGTCTGGACACAGAAAAGCAGGATATGAAAATATTACAAATAAAATAGAGCACTGTATATACACTGTTTAATTACAAGTTTTGGGGCTGATGCAGGAATTACTGGGTGAAAATTTTATAACTTCTGTTACACAGGAGGTCAGATTAAATTATTATAAATCTTTAAAACCTTTTGATGTATTTCAAAAGTATATTCCCAACTCCTCAGCCCCCAAAAATCATTAAATCAAGGAAACGGTTATGATTGGTCTTTAGGTAAAACAGACACAGAAAAGAAAAATGTTTGCAAAACAAATAATCACATTACAGTCAGTCAATGTTTTAAATTACAAAAAAACAGTTTTTATTATTTTTTGTGTGTGTTCTTTAATGCAATATAACACTAGGCAGGCCTATTATCAATTAAGAAGTTTCTCACCACAGGATTAAGCCGTTTGTCTATTAAGTCAAATTTCAAAGATTTCCTTTGACAGTCTTACAGGTCTTGTCATCACTTAAGCACATGCATTAATGGAAGTGCTGGAAATGTGAGATATGAGACTTGGAACAGGTGCTTTTCACTAGGAATATGTGCGAGCTAGTCAGACTGGCTAGATACAACAGGGGAAACAGACATACCCAGATTCTGATCATGCAATAGGTCTGCTTTTCAGGTTCAGTACACATTTTTAAAAATCAAAAGGTAGTTTTCTTATGTTTGATCCACCATCTGTTCTCTCTGTTTCTATAACTAAGAATGATTTGCATTTTCTGCAATGATATAGAATGCTTTGTTTATATGAGGGAATTTTGTTAGTTACTTGGCACCTGTTTAATATAACTGGACATATATACTCATTCAAATCATGACTATAGTATTATCAATAAAAAGTCCATCCATTCTTACTAGATTACTGTAGTTCCCAGAAAGATTTTCCATAATCCATTGCAGGTAAATATACGTATGAGTAGTAAATGAATGGCTGAGTAAATATGGCACTTTTACATTTACATATGCAATCTTTCCTGGATCTCATATGGAATTAGGAAACAATCTTTTGTTAGCAAGAGCATTTCTAAAATACTGTAATTTTAAAATACATCCCACAGACTAGATATTAAGAAGTTTAGAAAAAGCCAACAGGCCATTTACCTGAGTTTGTTTCATAAGATTAAACTGATAACTGTGATTTGATATTTTATCATTCATTGTGATTCTAAGGGCTTGTCTAAACACAACTATACCGGTTTATCTACATCTGTATAATTAAAGCGATAAAACCTCCGCGGGTGGATGCCGTTATACCAATATTAATGTGCTTATAGAAGTGCAGCTACTCCCATACAGGAAGGGGAATAAGCTATACCAGTATAAAGCACGTTTATATCAGTATAACTGTGTCCACACTAGTGGTTCTCAGCCAGGGGGGTACAAAGAGGTCTTCTGGAGGGTACATCAATTCATCTACACATTTTGCCTAGTTTTACAACAGGCTACATCAAATGCACTAGCGAAGTCAGTACAAATTAAAACTTCAGACAGACAATGACTTGTTTATACTGCTCTATATACTATACACTGAAATGTAAGTACAATATTTATATTCCAATTGATTTTATAATTATATGGTAAAAATGAGATCGTAAGCAATTTTTCTTTCAACTAGTGTGTTGTGACGCTTTTTTATTTTTATGTCTGATTTTGTAAGCAAGTAGTTTTTAAGTGAGGTGAAACTTGGGGGTATGCAAGACAAATCAGACTCCTGAAAGGCCACACTAGGCTGGAAAGGTTGAGAGCCACTGCACTAGAGGTACTACTGGTACAACTGTAATAGATAAATAATCACATCCCTAACTGACCTAGTTATACCAGTACAAAAACTGTCTGTAGGCCAGGCCTTCAAAACTTTAGCTAAAAGGTGTGTGTCATTTCCATTCAGAATATACACTGCACTATACAAGGGAGACAATAGACACAACATAAATCATGTTTTTGAAATGCTATATCTATAAATATAGACATTGTAAAGATTTTTTTTTAAATCAACCCTAATGTAATCTCCTATTTCAGATCTAAGTAAGAGAATGATACAGATTCACTGATTTCTTGGACATTTTAAACAGTTTACATTCATCAGGAACTACAGCACTTGGGTTTACACAATTAGGTTAATACAAGCAATGAAACATTTCTCTCTCCCAAATCACATCCAACTGAAGCACATTTGAAGCAGTTCTTGTAAGTGCATTCCATATATGAATAAAAGTAGCCCTTGCAACAGCTACATCAGTTATAGAGCTAAACTTAAAAAGCTTGCTTTGGTTCCTTCACATCCAACCCATCTTGTTAATTATATGGAAAAAGTAAGTCAGACTTTGGTACTATGGCAAGTATTCTTACTGAACTACATAGTACACCCTGGATTAACGGGGAAAAAAATATTTTTCTTCATCTCTCCCACCCCCATATGTCAGATTCTTAAAGCAACAACATGCTTTTGTACCAATACCCAAAACTTAAATTAACTATAGTGCAAGCCACACAAGCAATACTGGCAACAAAGAGCAAATACCCTGACAACTACCTAGTAATTGTTTCACATAACTTTGAAAAATTAGCAGCCAAGCCCCTGCAATTTACAAACAGCATGACTGCCCTTTCAAAGGAAATACTTATTTCTAGTTATCTGCTAGCAATTATCCAGTGCCTGCATTGTGATTCAAACATACAGGGGAAGAGGAGACGCCCTGGGAAATTTTAAATTATTTTTTATTAGGCTTAAATTAGCTTTCGAACAGCACATAGAATTAAAATGGACAACACCTGCCAGACCTGCCCATGTAAGCGTAAATGGCAGGAGTAGTTGACAAAATAATTTAACATAGATTTAGCTGATAAAATTCCCAACCTGATATACTATTGTGTCAGCCTATTACAGATTATTAAATTATTTAAAAAAGCAGGCTTCCAATTGTACAATTTTCAATTTAATCACTAGCTGGAAAATTAAAACAAATGTGATTTTCACCACCATCCTCTGCTATGCTGAGACTTGACATGTTAATATTAGATTCTTTTAATTTAATCTGGTTTCTGATAATCTTAAAGGCTCCTCTGCCAAGCCTGGTAATATGCTACCAAGCCCACTGCAGAGCTTCTTAGCTGCTGGAAGCATTTTTGTTTCCTGGTCAAAAGCTTCACAGACCAAAGATAACTGCAATGATCCTAAGCCCCAAACAGTTCAGTCATATGAGATGCCAAACACCCTGGTGTGGGGGGAAGAAGTGTTGGGGGGAGGGGAGTGAATTCAATGGAAGTTGAAGGCACTCACCACTGTGTAAGAATAGGCCCTTGGTTGTGGGATGGGAGGGAGAGCTCCCTGACTGTGGTATTTCATCTTTACCTTGCAGAATGTAAAGATCTGGGTTGAGATTTTCAAAGCAGTGACTTAGTCACATACCTTCTGTTCAAATTAATGGAAGGTGGGAGGCTACATCCCCTTCTTTTAAAAAAATCTAAAACTTGAATCCTTCCAGGATTCAGAGTGGTTGCTGTGTTAGTCTGTATCAGCAAAAAGAACGAGGAGTCCTTGTGGCACCTTAGGGACTAAAAGTCTCTAAGGTGCCACAAGTACTCCTCCTTCCAAGATTGACTCTCCTATACTACTTTGAAAATCTTAGCCTTACTCGTTCCGTTCTGAAGAATAACGACAGCAGATGTGCTCTGTTCAGCATACTGCATGAGATGGAGGCTGAGATTTTTAGAGGGGCTTAAGGGAGTTAGGTGCCCATTAACTTTCAATGGAAGTTGTGCACCTAATTTCCGTAGGCCCCTTAGAAACTTTTCTAAGGCCATGTCTACACTACCCGCCGGATCGGCAAGTAGTGATCGATCTGTTGGGGATTGATTTATCGTGTCTAGTGTAGACACGATAAATCGATCCTCAATCGCTCTGCCGTCGACTCTGGAACTCCACCATGGCGAGAGGCGGAAGTGGAGTCGATGGTGGAGCGTTGGCCGTTGATCCCGCGCCGCGAGGACGCAAAGTAAGTGATTTAAGTCCATCTAAGATACGTCAACTTCAGCTATGCTATTCTAGTAGCTGAATTTGCGTATCTTAGCTCAATCCCCCACCTAGTGTACACCAGGCCTAAATGACTTTGACCACTTGGGAGAATAGTTGGTATGTGTGGAGTCTCAACAAAAGGACATTTAATCAAGGTCAGGTTTTGTGAGGTACTGGGCACCATTGATGAAAACAGGGATTGAGGCTGCTCAACATCCCACAGAATCAGCCCCTAGAAAAAAAGATCCTAAGGTATTAACAATGGCCCAGGAGATGATACATTCATCTATTAAAAAATATGCTACTCAAGGTAGACAGCTGGAAGCACACTATCCTCTTCTAGCCAAAATTAAGAAACAGTTGATCTAACCATTAGCTTTTGCCAGTACAAAATAATTTTTCAGACACTTTTGTTATCAGGGCAAAATAAACTTTTAAATATTTTTAAACTGTGAAAAAATACAAGTAAATTTTTATTTAAAAATATATATATTCCTTACTCCACATTTGTTTGTACAGATAGTTTTGTGTTAAAAGGACAAAAGAAAAAATAAAATAAACACATCAATAAAGGCATATTCAGACTATCAAATTATTTATATAGTATATTTGGTAGAAGCATCTTTCTGTAAAACTGAGTAAAAGGAAGTAAATTATTCAGCTTTCATCTGCTCTCTAATGTCAGAAGGCAAAGTTTCAAACAAAGTGTCTTCTACAACCAAGCCAGTCCGCTTCAAAGCCCTACACTCACCAAGTTCAGGCGGGAGAATTTCAAAGTGATTGCCTTTAATATCCAAATAGGAGAGGAATACTAAATTACCAATTTTAGGTGAAAGGACTGACAAATTATTTTTCCCAATCTTAAGAGTCTTAAGTTTTTTGCAAAAGTATAATTCATCTGGCACATTCTCCACTTTGTTACAAGTGATGGAAAAATACTGTAAACTTTGCAGCACTCCTATTTCCGGTGGAATAAATCGTATATCATTGTAAGACAAGTCTAAGTATCTGATTTTGTTGCATAGGAATAGGTGGGATGGAAGAACCTCTATTTTGTTGTGACTAAAGGAAAGACGCTCTAGGCTAGTGAGTTTCTTTATATGCTCTGGGATATATGTTATACTGTTGTACCACAGTTTTAGGATTGTAAGTTTTCTCAGATATTGAAAACTAACTATTTCTTCTATTGATTTGAGGTTGTTTTCCTTTAAATCCAATTCCTGGAGACTGAGAAGGCTAAAAACTGCATGAGGTATGCGCTCCAAATCACAGTGAACCAGCTCCAACTCAGTCAAGTTAACCATTTTCTTCAGGTTATTGAGCATCACTAATTTGGTGCCATCGTTATGAATACACATTTTTTGAAGATGACTTGAAACATCAACTGCTGATTGTGGGATTTTGGATACATTGCTTTTAATGTAGAGAATTTTAAGGCTTTTAAGTTCCCGAAAAGACTCAAGAGTAATGTTTTTGGAAATATCATGACTGAGAGAACCAATTAAATAGAGCTCTTCTAAATTTCTGAGCCCATACATCCAATGTGGAAGCTCTCTGATGTCATCAAATTTGACACTCAAGATCTTCAGATTTTCCTTCAGAAAAGCCAAGGCAGCACTGTGGATCTTCACAGAACACTGGTACAAAGAGAGCTCTTGGAGATTATCCAACTGTGCAACGGTTGCTGGTATCATAACATTATTAATTATTTCAAGTTTTAGAGACTGCAGCTCTGTAATTTCAAAAACTGTGTCTGGAAGTCCAGAAAGCATGAAGAGCTGCAGTTCTAGCCGGTTATATGCATTTGTTTGTAGCCTCTGTCTCAATTTATCTGCAGTCCATTCATTGTTTAAGTTCAGCTGTTTCAGCTTGTTTTCACTGACTTCAGACAGGAACACTGCAAATCTCTTTGAATAAAGAGGGTCATATTGATCTATCATGTGAAGCATAAAAGCAAAGTCATTCTTAACATCTGGGATATCATCAATTCCAGTCTCTTGCCGAACATATTCAAAGGAATATTCCTTTAGTGAACGATAGAACAACCAATATAAAGTGTAAAGGCATGTTAGTCCATAGATGCTTACAAAGCACAGGTAGCAGAAGGAAAGTTTAGAGAACAGATGTGCCATGGTATGATTACAGGAAAAATTCTTATATCCTGTCATGTCCTGTATGTCAACATTACAGTCTACTGTAAATTGAACTTCTGAAACTAGTGCACTATTGTAAGCAATAATGATAAGGAATTTAATAACTTTAAGTACAGTCTGACGAACATACATAGCATGGAGCAGATCACTTTCTTCAACGTGCAGTCGGAATTTCTTCACCTTTTCAAACAGTGCTTTTGCCTGTTCTCCTTCTTTTTTATCCAATGCCCCTGCCGTCCCCTTATCTACAACAAACTTTTCAGGTATCGATTTTAAAGACTGAGTCTTGACCAAAGTGCCTTCTGTGCTAGGTTGGATAGTATTTGACCTTGTTATGTTGTTCTTCCTGTTGTCCTTCTCTTCTGAGTCTTCCCCAGACACTTCAGATAAGGCCCTTGTTGTCCAGGGAGAATCAAAACATTTCCCCAGTATGGAAATGAAGTGTTCAATTTTTGAGCTTGATCCAGGGAATTTGAACCAGAAGTTACTACATAGCATGAATATCAGAGTATGTATAAGGACAAGGTAAGGGAAGTATTTTGCATACCAGTGCAGTGCACGTTCATAGCACATTTGGTTTATAAAGCTATACTGCTGAAGGTCTAAATCAGTCTTTAGTCCTTTCATTTCAACAGTGGCAGGAGTAGTGGATGGTTTGGGTGGAGGAAGTGGAGTTGTATTTGGGACTGCATTTGGAATGTGAGAGTGATTCTGTGAAGGCTGTATTCTTTTTGGAAGGCATATTATCTTGTCTTGCATGACCTGAAACACACAGAAAGATACACTTTCAAATTATGAAGAGATGATGCCTAATGTCATAACTGTTTGGCTAATAGCATCAGCTAAATGTAATTTCTCCTTGACATACTCTATGCTGAGTACTAGTTCAGTGGTTAAGTCCATTATTATTAGTTATGTGCTAATCACACCCTTAATATATATGCTAAAAACTAGATTGTCTGACCTATTTAGTCGTCTCCATACATAAAAAAAACCTTCCACATATAAACAAACCTATGAACATATAGCTCTCTCTTTGATTTCATGATCACTGCATGAATTTAGCACTAACCAATCAGATTTAAACCCACCACACATACACACAGGGGTTTATTCTGCCTGAGTGCCCACACTTCCCATTGGCTTCAGCAGGAGCTGAGGGAGCATGCCACCTAGCAGAATTGGACCCCACCACTATTTTTTAACTATCTCCAGCATGGTAACTGCTGAAACTTAGGCTATGTCTACACTTACCGGTAGACTGGCACTGCTGCAATCAATGTAGTGGGTGTCGATTTAGCAGGTCTGGTGAAGACATGCTAAATCAATGGGAGAGTGCTCTCCCACTGATTTGTGTACGCCACCTCCCTGAGAAGAGTAATGTAAGTCGGCAGGAAAGCATCTCCCATCGACACAGCGTTGTGTAGACATCGCGGTAAGTTGACCTAAGCTATGTCTATTTCAGTTATGTTATTCAATTAACTGAAGTCACATAACTTGGGTCGACTTACCACAGTAGTGTAGATCAGGCTTTAGAAAGCTCCTTTACATACAAAAAGAAAAGGAGTACTTGTGGCACCTTAGAGACTAACCAATTTAAACAAATAAATTGGTTAGTCTCTAAGGTGCCACAAGTACTCCTTTTCTTTTTGCGAATACAGACTAACACGGCTGTTCCTCTGAAACCTTTACATACATTGAGCCAGATCCACAACTGGTATAAACTGGTATAAAGCTCCAGTGAAGTCAACAGAGTTACCCCAATCAACATCAGTTGAGGATCTGGCCCATTATCTTGAAATTGGGTTTACACATTTGTAACAAACATGAATGTAAATATTTGTCTGTTTCATTTGCATTGTTTTCACACACCATTCCCCTTGTGGTTTATTCAGTCAAGCAGTTAAGTATGCAAGTGACTGAAACTATGCTTTGTTTATGTCAACAAACACTTGGCTGCTAGCCCAAAAAGTGCCCTTGTGAAGTGTGATTTTTGAATATATCACATACTGACAGATCTTCTGTACACAGCAGAAGATATTTAAAAAATATAACACAAACAAACTTCTAACTTACATCCTGCACAATTTGAGACATTTATCATTGAAATTCAGGAGCAAATTCCCTGCTGGTGTCAATGAGCAGAGCTCCACTGAAGTCTGCCAGCTTATGACAGCAGAGAATTTGTCCCTTTAACTTCACTTCCTAGGGAATGTGAGTTTCACATTACAGGTATTACTGGATCCAGCAGTGTCAGCTGGATCAAAATCCTGCTAAGAAAATGTGAATCGGTAAGAAACGGCATAAGGGTTAAACAAGAAATGATGAGACTTATTTCATATCAGTGACAGAAACATAGGGCCAGATTGTGGCATGCTCTATAGGTCTATGCAGAAGAGAAGCAGCCTCTGCCGAGTCATTACTCCTGCATAGGTGGGCAAGCAGTAGGTAGAGCAAAGGCTGTGGGATGTATACTGCACGAGGTATAATCCGAGCATAGGGTATGTCCTAACTAGAATGGGGAAAACTGGGAGATAGATCTGATTTGATAGGTAGTTCCTGGGTCTGCACAACTGTGCACTGCCTCCTACGCAAAATCACAATTTAGGGCCCCCCTCCTTTTTTTTTAATTAAAAGGGACACTGTTAATGTTTATGTGTCTACACTTTGATCTACTCTCAAACCTGGTGGAAAGATCCTTCAAATTTACAGATGTAAAAACAAAAAATATTCATGACCAAATATCTATATTGTTTTTAAACAACAGGTATTTTTGTGGAGCCCACCATACATAATGCTTTCTGCTCCTCATCAGATTTTGGCTCTGTAGCAACATTTAACTAACCCAGCAGTTAACATCAATTGTTTATGTACCAAGCATCCTCGAAATGTTTTGGCATGGAGGAGGCAGTTATTAATTATGGGTGGTTATGAATAAAATAAGCATATTCATTTCAGCTCTATTCAAAACACAGGGAGAAAAATAAAATTTGTGTGTGCCAAATGTGAAAAGACAAAAATATATTTTAAGACCCTAAGAAAGTTGTAAATAATAAAGAGGGAAAAACAAGAATTTAACTCTACAGTCAGGCTTGCTTTGCAAAATTGTAATGAAAATTGACCAGGTTAGGCACAAAATCTACTCACCCTCCTTTGCCAGGACTGAGGATCATTAAAAAACAAATGAGCCAATTCCTCAGCTGGTGCAAATCAATATAGTTCCACTGATTTCTGATTTTCAGCAGCTATGGGTCTGGGCCATGATATTTTATTCATCTGTTCAAACAAATTACTCATCTGGGCCAGCAGATTTTGGCATTGCTGTCAGTGACTACAGTGAACACAAAACTTGATAATGGTCTTCTGAAGAAGGCTCTGTCTGGCGTTTTTTGAACACCCCTGACAACATGCTTTTAAGTTATACTTTGTTTAATTTACCTGTAATGTACATCCAAAGACACCAATCATCAGCATGGCTACTGAGAGATAGTCTGTAAACACATCCCACCATGGCTTCAGTACTCTGAATGCTGGCTGCTGTTCAGAGAACTGACGAAATTCGGTGACAGGAATCATGTTTCTGAAAGATAGTCAAGCAAGGCTGGTGTTTAGTCATTTCATGCTATCTTCCTCCATTCCATATGACTCATGGAAAAAGATATTTGACTCACTGGGTGAAAAAAAGAAGAAGCTATTTTGACCTTCTACAATCATTAGGCATTCCATGCTTCCCATACTTCCCTCCCAGTGCCTTGGACCTAAAAATGGGCATAATAGTCATCTCACAAGGGTGTTTCTGGATGATTCATTCATGGCTATAATGTGTTTGGAGATCCTTGGATAGAAGGCACTCTAAGAATTAGTTACATTAACATATTGTCTTCTTAAATCCTCAGACTTCATACACTGTCAACAAAACCACTACAACTGAAGCATTACTTCACAAAACCATATTAAAAGTCAGAGTTATTTATCAGGCAGTGTCGGTATCAATAGGCCTGCACTGATGCCCAGTTTGTTGCAGTAATGGTGATGCTATACGGCTCTCTTTATGAAATTACACCCAGCCAAGAGAGTCCCTTCTGATATCTGTGTGCTTATCTCACAAAAACTCAGCAGAGAAACCAGGGGAAAAGTGCTTCTTCAAAAGAGGAAGAGCTGGTATGAGTGATTAATAGGACAAACCTTCTCTTCACTCTCTTTTCTTTTAGAAAACAGTGGAAAAATCGATCCCTTTAAATTATATGACCAGCACTTATCAGTGGAGCACTGTACTTTAGGTATCCTTTACCTGACAGCATCACAGTGCCCATAAGTGTCACTCACAGGAAAGACTCTTGAGCAAGAGCTAAAGCATGTCATAAATTGTTTTTTCTTCAATACTGCAATCTGCACTCTTTTATGGCCATTGCTAGGAAGATTCCTTCCTTCTTTTTCTTTATTTCCAGAACAAATCTAAATAATTTTGGAATGCTATTCCTTCAGATTTTATTTTAAAATTATTATTTTTCTACAAAAACTCAGAGATATTTTTAAAGAATATATAAATACAATGTTAGTCTATTAGATGCCACTTAGTGATCCCTGATAAAGCTTTGCTATTTACCTGACTGTCAGCTCAGTCATTGGAAACTGGCATTTTGCTGATAACAGAAGTACTGCCAGCTCCAAACATTCAAAAATCCCACAGATCATGAGAATGGCTTCAAAATCATTTTTTGTTTTGTTTTGATAACAACTTTGGGGGTGTGTGTGATTTTTTTGTGGGATGTTTTTTGTTTTTGGGGTGGAGAGGTGATATGTCTTCTCGCATCAGATCCTGTAGGCTTCACATTTTCAAGCTTTTCTCCACAACTCTGAGGGGTAGATTTTTTTTTTTTAAAACCAAAGTTGAGATTCTCACACAATCTTATGACTCCAGAAGGAAAGCTTTAAGAACAGCGCCTAATGTCATGAGAGTTGGCAACATACAGCAAGAAGTGCACTGAGCATAGGAGTGGATGGGATGGGAAATCATTCTGCACTGAAATCAGTGGGAAGCCCGGCTAAATTTGAATTCTGCTTTCTCTATGTATTTTTAAGTTTTGTTTTATCGTAACTGTGTTTGATTAATTTATAGGCAGGTAACTGATGAGGAATTTAGATGAAGACATATAGTCTATGCCACTACAAGGAAATGCTCCTCGGATCTCCTTCCCTTCCCCTCCTACTATATTGGATAATGAGCATATGTAGCATGACCCTCCACTAGCTGGAATGTCAGAACTGCTCAAGAACACATGACCACATCACTGTGTTGTTGGTGGTCCACAGACGATGAGGAAGAATCTCCATGGGGAAAATCTCTCGCATCCTCTATAGCAGGTCTATCTGTGGAGAAGGATGATCTGAGTCTACCTAAGCAACAATACTTGAACAATCTGAAAATTTTCAGATGCAATGTTTTTCTGTCAGAAAATGTCATATTGAAACATGCTGTGGGAAATGTCAAAATTCTGGCTTTTTGTTCTGATTTGGAACAAAAATTTGGAATGTTAGAATTTCCCACAGAATGGAAATTTTTGTCCAAACCAGCGCCAGATAATACTTAGCCCCGTTACTGTTGCACAGTAGAAAGTTTATACATTGGTTACTTTAAAAATAGAAGCAGACCAACTGATCTTTTTAAATCAAGATCTACAGCATCTGAAAATTAGTAACCATTCTTTCAGACTAGAGAACCTCACCAGGGAAGAAAAGCACTCTGAAAAATATTGATATGAAGAGGGAAAAAATTACTATTAAAAAAACTTGTCAGGGGTGAGTCAATCTAGTGTTTAGTTTTGTTGTGACAACTATATCAGAATGTTATTTAAGGTCCTGTTCAGCATTCTTTACTCAATATATGGTCCCAATGGTGGAAGTGAATGAACTAATGAACAATAATGACAGTATACAATGAATACAAGGAACAGGAATTGAATTGAATAGAATACAAAGGGTGTCCTTTGTACATAGAGTGGGGACTTTCTACACTTGATCCTTCTTTTGCAATATTTTGCAAACATGGATATTTGCAAGATTCAGATGGAGACTGGTCACAAAGGTATGGGATATTTGAGCCATTTTCTCAATGAAATCATTTCTAATGGCAGGCTACCTTTGTGGCACTAGAAATCACAGCAGAGGCCTGTAAGAAATTCAAAGGAAGGTATCTGTATTCTACAATGCTGCTGGATTGAATGATTGAACGAAAAGTGGATACATATAACTACCACTTCTTTTACAACAGTAGCTTGATTTTACACATTCCGCTTCTAGCCCTGTTGCCATGAAGACACCTTGGAATTCCATAAGCAGAGGATTCCAAAGCTTCAGAAAAACAGACTGCATGTTTATCTTTTTCAAAGAATTGCTAAAGAACTCCTCCAGACTGCACAAGGACTCTGACACTAAAGAAGTGTTACAGTCAAACAGTATTTTATTCATAGATTCATTTCCAATCAGATGTGACAAGGACTTTGCAAACGGAAAAGGTTCAGATTCAATCTATATTCTGCTGACTATTTTAAACAAGTCAAAACAGAGATAGTTTAAAACCAATGCCACATTTCAGGACACAGATCAACACATTAACTACTGGAGTTTCTCTTATGTTATTAAAAGGAATTGCAATATTAAAGATGAATTTAAACACTGTGGGTTAGAATTTCAGCTGGTGTAAATTGGTACTGCTCCACTGACTTCAATTCAGTTGCATCCACAGTTACTATTTACAGGCACAATACCCAGTAGTTTAGGCCTAAACTTTGACCTACATTAAATGTTGTTATAATCTGGTTGGAGAATCTCTGAATTCTAAATACTCTTAAATTTTCTTAATTAAAATCATCACTCTCGTTCTCTTTTCTCTCTTGCTTCCCCTACCCCACCTTGCTCTCCAGAAATTTAAAAAAGAAAGGGAGGCATGAGCTAGACTATCTGGTATTCTGCTGCTGCAGAGAATTAAGAGAAGAAGCCCAAGTTAAACTTTGTTTTGAGAACCAGCCAATGGTGGTATACAAACACGGAGGGATAAACAACACAAAACAAGCTTGTAAACAATCAATTCAAAATAAAATTCAGGGTTTGCCAGATAGAAAACTGGGGGCGGGGGGTTAGTAGGGAAATATATTTTTAATGTTTCTAGGGAGGTATTTCAAACAATGGAAAATAAAGGAAACTGAAAATTGATTCAGTGAATATGGGCAATGAGAGGAGATGTGAAAATACAGGAGTGCAGAAGAATTTTGAGGAACCCTGAAATTCCACAGCAAAAGAATAGCACATGGAAAAGAAGGGGGCAGAGTGGTCTTCTGAAGGAATATGAAGATAATAAACAAACAAACAGGCATGTGCTGGGAATGGAGATGTGGGGAAGAACCAAACAAGAGCACTGAGGGCCACATTCTCAGCTGGTATAAATGGGCACAGCAACTTTGACTTCTGTGGAGCTTCAAGCATTTACATCAGCTGAGAACTTGGCCCACAGAGTCAGTTAATGCTTTCAGGAGCAGATAAGAGCAGCAAAAAGCAGACTGAGTTAATGCAACCTAAAGGAGTTAAGGAGAATAAATAGATGAGGGTGGGGAAGAAGGGAATTGGAGACAAATTAGTCTCATTAATAAATGAGAGAAATTAAATCAAATTATGATTCTAAAATGGCTACGCCATTGCACTAATCTGCCTGTTTGCAATTGGCCTTCATCAAATTAAATAAAGAAAAGTGGTATAGACAGTTAGGAAGTAATGAAGGTTCTTGCCAATGTGGCTGAAGAGAAAAGTGAATATATTTTATAGATCAGGAGATGCAGATGACATGCATTTCAGGATAGGAAGGAAATTAAATAATTCAATTCCTGAACCACTGACAGCTCACAGGAATACCTGCAGGGTGCAGCTGGGGAGGGGTGATGCTAGCAGAGCAGGGTTTTCCATTCACTGACTATCCCCTTGTGGGGCTGATATCCTCAGGCCCAGGCTGGAGAGGTAGTTTAGTAGTTTATAAGAGCTTTACTATATTTTTTCTCCAGTGTGTTTTTGTCAAGTGTCTTGAAAAATACTTTAGAATTAAAAACCACACGCACAAATGCATCTAAAATACTGTCCTGAATTAAAAAGATACAGCCAACGATAGTGCGACTATAGCCTTTGGGTCTAATAACAGGCTACCATGGTCATTTTTAAAGAGATGTCTGTTGAGTAACATACTTCATTCTGTGTAGCATAACTGGTAGTGGATACATGCTAACCTTTACCTGCACAAGGGGGTTGATCACATGAAACTGCTGTGCGTTTTTAACTTACCTGTCTCTGCTTTCCAAATGCAATTTAAATAGGTATTATGATTAGAAAAGCAGATTCAATGAAATATAAAGAATGAATTGGACACTGTCCCTTTATTTTATCTATTGCAAGCTCTTTGGGATAGGGAGCATGTCTTTGTAGATGTCTGTATGGCCACTTAGCATATTTTCTTCATGGAACACTCAAAAATAATAAAAAGTTGACACCAAGATGGCTGCTTGTATAGAGTTGCTTTCCCCAGGTTCTTTAAGTGCC